TCCTCCTCCTCCTCCTCCTCCTCCTCCTCCTCCTCCTCTTCTTATTAGTATTAGTATTATTCGTCTGATTATTCGTATTGGTCGTCTTCTTATTATTAGTATACGTCTTGTTATTATTACTATTCGTCGCATTCTTATTGTTAGTACTATTATTATGCTTATTCTTATTAGGAAACGTGTTATTATTATTCGCCTTAGTATTATTCTTCTTCTGATCAGTATTATTAGTAACGTCCTTCCTATTAGTATTCGTAGTAGTCTTATTATTATTACTCGTCGTCTTATTATTCTTCTTCGTATTATTACTTTCATGATTATTCGTATGCGTCTTCTTCTTATACTTCTTATTCTTATTATTCGTATTCTTATTTGTCGTCTGCTTATTCTTCTTATCATTATTCGTCTTAGTATTATTCTTATTCGTCTGATTAGTATTATTATTATTCTTATTATTCTTAGTAGCATTCGTATTATTATTCTGCTTGTTATTAGTATTATTAGTATTTGTATGATTATGAGTAGTAGTAGTAGTAGTAGTAGTAGTAGTAGTAGTAGTAGTAGTAGTAGTAGTAGTAGTAGTAGTAGTAGTAGTAGTAGTAGTGGTAGTATGTTTAGTATGCTTATTCTTCTTATTAGTATTCCTATTATTCTTCATATTAGTATCATTATTACTCTTCTTATTTTTCTGTTTGAGCTTCTTCTTATTCTTATCAATATGATGTTTCTTCTTATTATTATTCCTCTTCCTCCTCCTCCTCCTCCTCCTCCTCCTCCTCCTCCTCCTCCTCCTCCTCCCCCTTCCCTGACTCCTGCTGAGCCCCGGCCGCCTCCGCGGCGTGCCGCTGGAGCTGCCGGCGCAGTTGGCCCTCCTCGCGATCGGGCCGCTCCGCGCCTCCCGCCGCGTCCGAGTCGCCCGCTGCCGCTGCCTGGGCGCCCTCGGCCGCCGCCCTGGAGAGCAGGCCTGCGCCCTCCAGAGCGTAGCCGGCAAACCAGCGCTCGGCGACCTCGTCCCCGAGGTCGTCCTCTCGAGGGCGACGGGTCCACCGCCGCTGCCCAGGCCCATCCTGGGCCCGGGAGCGGTGCAGACGCCCCCATGCCTTGGCCAGGGAGGCGTGTATGGGAGCAGGGCGAGTTAACACAGCGGCAGCTCAAAATCGGCCCCTGGACCCCTCCTGGGGTCCAAACGCACCAGGCTTCAGAGCTGCGTCCAGCCGTGGCGGCAAGGGGGGCCCATCGAAGGCCAGCCACCGCTGTCTCCACTCGTCCCCCTCTGAATGTGCACCGCTCCTGGGCCCAGGAAGGGCCTGGCCAGCCGCGGAGGCTCTATGCAGGCCTCGGTCGCCCGAGATCCTCGTCGACCGCCTCCGTCTGCGTGGCCATGGTCTGAGTCTCCACCTGCAGCTCGTTCTGGAGCTCCTCGGCGCCGCCAAGATATGCCCGTGCCCTCTGCCGCGGGGTCGTGTCCAGGGACCTCGGGGAGCGGTGGGATGCGGGTAGACCTGCCCGCCCACGCGGGCGGGCAGGAGTCCCCGCCCGCCGCTCCTCGAGACCCCCCAGGGCGCGGCTCCGAAGCGGTGGGCACGGACATCCCCTGGCGGTGGCTCCTCGATGGACCGCCCATCCTGCGCCTCTCGAGTAAGAGAAGACTGCACAAGCATCAGGTCGGGCATGTCCCCGTAAAGGCGGATTTGGGACGGAAAATGAAAAATACTCCAACCAAGCATTTCAAAAAATGTCAAAACAAAATGCTGGATAAATCGTCCCGGGACTATGTCTTTACTACTGTCCCTAACCATCCTGTGGTGTTGAATCCTCGTTTTGACGCGACGGTCCCCGCGTTATTTTTTTGTTCTTCCTCCCCCTCCTCCTCCCCCTCCTCCCTCACTTCGTGGCCCGATAGGGAGCTCCATCGAAGGCCCCAGTGGGACCGCTCGCACGCGTCATCCACCACCCAGCACAACGCTTCGTGACTCCACAGGGAGCTCCATCGCAGGCCCCAGTGGAACCGCCCGCATGCGTATCCACCACCCAATACATCGTGTCGTGGACCCATACGGGGCTCCATCGAAGGCCCCAACGGGACCGCCCGCATGCGTCATCCACCACCCAACACAGCGCTTCGTGACCTCATAAGGAACTCCACCGAAGGCCCCAACGGGACCGCCCGCATGCGTCATCCACCAAACAGTACAGCGCTTCGTGACCCCACAGGGAGCTCCACCGAAGGCCCCAGTGGGACCGCCCGCATGCGTATCCACCCCCCAGCGCAGCATTTCGTGACCCCATAGGGAGCTCCACCGAAGGCTCCAGTGGGGCCGCCCGCATGCGTCACCCACCACCCAGCACAGCGCTTCGTGGCCCAATAGATGGCTCCACCGAAGGCCCCAGCGGGACCGCCCGCAGGCGTCATCCACAAGCCAGTACAGCGTTTCGTGTCCCCACGGGAAGCTCCACCTAAGGTCTCCGTGGCGGAACTCGCATGGCGGCCCAGTGGCGGAGTTCGCATGGTGGCGACTTTCGATGTTCTAAGGTTTTTCATCGCAATCGACTTGCTGACGCCGCTTTCGGGCCGCGCATCCTGGGCGGGAGCCAGCCTGCTCGCTCTCTGTTCCGCGCAGCGGACGACCCGCGCGCGTCGCAGGGACCCCGTCGGGGCCACCAGCGCGCGTCGCGGGGACTCCGTGCGGCGCCGCGCCCGCAGCCTTGGACGTGGGCGCGCACGGGCAAAGAGGGAGAAGAAGAACGGGAAGGAAGCGGGCGCGATCCTCGTGAGAGGCGTGTCGACATGCGCGTCGACATTCATGCACGTAGACTCACGCGCGCGCAGACTCATCCACAATCAGACTCACTCGCTCTCAGTCTCTCGCACACAGACCTATCGTCTTCGCTCGCGTTGTGTGCCCCGCCACGCATGTCGGCACGCCCCTCACACGGTTCGTGGCCCCATAGGGAGCGCGGGCGAAGATGATAATCATACTTGCGGTATTCACAACTGCATATGGTTGGGTCCCTTCGCCAAGCGAATTGGAGATTCCTCATGTAGAGGGAAGTGCCCGACTTAACACGAGCACAAACTGTCGGAGCGCCGCGCAGAGCTCTCGGATCTGCGCCAGGTTTCCCCGGCGGCGCCCGCGGCGCCACCCCTGGCGCATCCCCCGCGCCGGGCAGGGGGCGCCCAGCGCCGATCCGAGCAGAAGCCGCGCGGCACCCCGACAGCTCGCGCGCTCGATCGCCATCGCTCGGACGTCCACGACCCGTGGGATTGGCGGTTTAAAGGGGCCCTGGGACACACAATTAGATGCACACAAACGAAAGGACTCCCCACGTGTTCCCATATCTTCTGGGTTTTCGTCTTCCCCCCATTTCCCATATTTTCGCATATTCTCCTAGGAGTCGACGATGAATTGTGTCTGTGTGTTTTTCTCCCTCCTGATGGTTGTCGTGCGCTGACAGACATGTCTCGCAAGATGCTCCAAGCTGCTCCTCTCGATGGCCCCCACGCCGAGAACAGTTGACGGCGCGCACGGGGGTGTAGCGCGAGGGGGGCGGCCTTCTGAGAAGGCAGGAGGCGAAGGGAAGGGGGGGGGTCAAGAAGGCACGGGCCTTCTCAGAAGTCCTCCCGGCTTCTAGGGAGCCTTCTTGCCGGCCTCTGGGGGGGCCCTTCTGAGAAGGCCCCCGCCACCCACGAAGCGCGCCGCCCGCTACGAAGGCCCCCCCTCTCGTGAAGCCCCCTTGCGCACGCCGCTAGAAGAGGTCGGGATGGGGAACGTTTTCTCATTCGGCGCTTCGACATTGGGCGGAAGGGGGGGGGAGAAGGGGTCTGGCTCCGGACCTCTGCTGAACGGCGTCTGTTCGCAACAGTGCGTCCTGTGGGGGAGACTCCACCTGCTCGAAGCAGGCGCCAACAAAAGCAGCCAAGATGCGAGGGCCCGCGCCGATCGGCAAAACAATGAATAAGAAAACGATAGCATGGGGATGGAGATGGGGATGGGGATGGGGATGGGGATCTGTTAAACGATACTGGTCCTGGGGATACCAGGAAGTACCGATACCGCTACTCTCCAGACCTCTCCCAGGGTGCGTTCTGACCAGAACTTCGAGGCAAACCCAGCGGTGACGACGAGGGCCTCCCCCGAGGCCGACGAAGTCAAAAACGAGGCCAGGGAAGAAGCGGTGTCCGTACCTTTTCCTTCTCTGAGGTCCCCTCCGAGAACAGCGCACACGTCCGAGCGATGCCGAGCTCATGCTCGTGCCGTCCCTGCTCCTCCCTGGGCCTCTCGCCAGGCGCCCGCGCCGCGGCTCGGCAGCCGCACGCCGGCGTCGAGGTTGGCCATCGCCGAGAGGTTGATCCTGGGGCGCTGCTTGCTGGGGGAGCGGTGTCCCGCGGGGGGAGGAGGAGAAAACACACACAAAAAACACAACAAAACACACTGTGGGAAAACACACAAAAAAACAGCATAAAAAAACACTGTGTGTGTGTTTTGTTCCCCCACTGTGTGTGTGTGTGTTTTTTCCACAGTGTGTTTTTTCCTACAATGTGTTTTTTCCCACAGAGCCCTCAGATCCTGGCGTTGCAAGATTTCGCAACGGGGGATTGCGCCCCCGGGGCCGTCACAGATCGAGCCGGCTCGACAAAGTGCGCAGCGCAAGATCGGGTCTGGGGCTCCGGCTCGGCCAACTGCGCGGCGAGATCGGGTCTGGGGCTCCGGCCGTGATTTCTCGCGGGGTTGCCTTCTTTGGGCAACGTCAGATCTGAGGGAACGTGAACATTTCGTGCCCGATTGGGGCACCGGGCCCCATTCAAGGCGCCCCAACCCGGAACTTCAGAGGGGTCAGGGACCTTCGGGTGGGGTTGAGGTGGTTTGGTAAACAGTGACAGCACGCAACGCCCGAGATCCCCGGGCGGATGAACTCGCCGGACACGGGGGACTCGATGCCTGGCGGCGGCTCCTCTGGGGACCGCATGCCAGGTGGCGGCTCGATGGGCTCGCGAACCTGGGGGAAACAAAACAAACATACCCATATGGTGGGGACATACGATGAAAAATATTGGGGCACACTCTGCGCCGATAATTGAAGGTCCTCGGGTGCGCGACGAAAAAAAAACGGGTCTTACTCAGAATGGCTGAGCGACCTTACGCGGCGGCTTACGCGGGCCGCCAAGGCGACACGCCACACTGGAAACGAGGGCGCTTGCGCGCGCCTTCACGTGGGCAGCTTACGCGCGACCCCCTCTGTTGCGTCGCTCGGGTGCCCCCGAGCTCCTCTGGGTCCCCGGGGCCCTCGGGCGATCAGAAACTTCCGTGGGCTGCTTGCTGGCAGACCGATGTTTTATTTGGCGCGCCAACTGTGCCAGTAGCCACTCCCCAGGCCTCTCCCGGGCTGCGCTCTGACAAATATTTCGAGGAGAATCTAGCCGTGGCAACGAGGGCTCTCAAGGATGAGCGGCGGGATCCTTGTATGCATACATATGGAGACAGAAGGGAAGAGACATGCCGACATATCTATAGAGATGTGTGTATGTATTGAAACATACATACATACAAACAAGCATACATGCATACAGATCGGCAGACAGACATACAGACAGGCAGACGTACAAACATACAGACAACAGACAGACAGACAGACAGACAGACAGACAGACAGACAGACAGACAGACAGACAGACAGACAGACAGGCAGGCAGGCAGGCAGGCAGGCAGGCAGACAGGCATACAAACATAACATAAATAGGTTCATGCATGCATGTATGTATACCTGCATGCATAAATGCATGTCAACGTGCATATGTATATACATGTGTATACATGCATATGTACATCCAAACATACAGACATCTGTACACATATGCATACACACATGCATGCGTTCGTATACGCATGCATACATACATGCATACATGCATAAATGCAGACATGCATACATGCATGCATACATTCATGCCTGCATGCACGCATGCGTAGTTATATGCATGTACATATGAATGTATGTGTGTATACGTTGTTGCATGTATATGTGGATTCAAATATAGCATGCAGATGCAATTTCGTACATGTACACAAGCATGAAAGGAATATTCATACACACGCACACCAAGCATACCTATATACATATACACACACATACATGCATGCATGCATATGTACGTACGTACATGCGTACATACATGCATGCATACACGCAAACTTAAACATGCGCTTGCTAGTTATGCTGTCCAATACGGGGTTCCCAAAAGTCTTCCGTAGCCAGTTTGGCTCAACCCATGTTGGCGCAAGTTGCCATCTGTCAAGGCAGCTGGCCAGGACAGCTTCTTTTGCCACCTGTGGGGCAGCCCTGTCAGGCTCCCAGGTGGCTGTGCGTCTACTTGTCTCGCTCCTGACGGAGCCAATGATTTCGCAACGAATTCCAGCCCTTGTCACGGCATGGTCCCGCCGCCGCAGCGGCAACCCTGGCGCAAGCGTGACGAAGATGCTGCTGGTGATCCTGATGCCTGGTTCGCGTACCAACCATGGGTCCAATCCTGGATGCACTAGGGACGGCAGGGCCCTCGTACCCGCCGAGGAGATTGGAATCGTCGGCATGCAGACCGACAATCCAGTGACTACGCTGTCTGCAGCAAGTGCTATCACTGGGAGTATCAGTTTCGTGACCATACCTGCTGCAGCAAATGTGGGAGGGCCTATGTTGGTGCCAAGGCCACGATGGAAAAGACTGACATGGACATAGAGGAAGAACCTGCTGTCTCAGATGATGAGATACAGAAGGCAGCTGCTATCCTCCGTGGTGCGCGACCAGACACTCTCGAGCCATTGGCTGAGGAACCACCTGTCCTACCAGCTGGACTATCTCAAGACCAACTGGATGCCAGTGCGCGTGTGGAGCGCACCCACTTGGCCAAGGCTGTTGAAGCGGCGGCGCGTGCTGAACGCGTTGTCAATCAGGAGATCGCTTTCAAAGAGGAGAAATGCAACAAGATACGCAAGCAGTTGGAAGAGGCTGATGAAGCCCTTGCGGCTGCGACACATGAACTTGAGATTGCCAAGTCGGCTTGTCAACAGGATGACCTGGATCAGGCCTCGTTCAACCCTGACGAGTGGAAGAAGGCCCAGGCAGCTGAGGTTCAACGCCTCCGTCAGGCACAGCAGGTGCAGCCTGCAGGGGCTCCTGGAGTCCTTCCGCCAAGTGGAGCTCAGCCTGCTACCGCTGTTGCACCCTCCGCTGGTGCTCCAGGAGATGCTGGCGGAGGGGCTCAAATACCTCAACCTCAACCTCATCCTGCTCCCATCCCCGACCTGGCCAGTGCTTCGGATTTGGATTTGCAGCGTTGGAGTACCGTGCACAAGCAGAGTCTTGACTACTGGAAGGCCCTTCGTGATATGCAGATCATGGTCAACCAAGCCACCAAAGTTGCTGATGAAGACAAGTCTGAGGTCGGTAGCGCGGTAGCGTCAGCGGAGATCCCGATGAATTGGATGCTGTGTACCATGCCCTCCGTAAACGCTCCCCCGAGGCTGCCCCCCCTGATGATGATACCATGCGGATGGAGAAGCTCATGTCGCACAAGAACAAGCAGAAGTCAGCGAAGAGGATTAAGACGACTGCCAGCAATGCGGAGGCCACCTTCAACCGCGCCCTCGCGCCAGCTGTCCAAGCTAAGCATGGAACCCAGAGGAAGTCTGATCATACGCGTCTCTGTTAACTTCTTGCCAATATTACGTCCTGGAGCTCTATTGCGAGGAGCTTTGCTGACAAGAGTCGTGCGATTTATGATGGCTTCTTCTTTGCCGGGCATCGCCTGATGGGTGATAGGAGTAAGGCCTGCAAGACGGACGGTTCTCAGATGCGTTGGAAACCCCATGTCCACTCTGCTTTTGCGCCCCCTGGGGGAGGCACCCACGGCGGCGTTGGCGCCATGGTCTCTCGGGGATGTTGTTTTCTTCGTTTCTTGGCCGATGAAAATGCGGTCCGCGATCTCGGATTTGGCAAGGCTGGATGTTTGTTCTAGGGTCGCTGTGGGCATAATTTACATGGCTTCTGACCTGGGGGTTGCGGGTGAGAATTTGGAGAAAATGAAGGCCGTGGCCGGGCATGAGAATACGCTTGCTTTGCCATGGCTGCTGACGGGGGACTTTAGCATCCCAGTGGAGTCTATGCACTGTGGCTTCCGGCAGCTAATGCGAGCTCGTCTCCTTCTTCCTTGTGATCTGGAAGTCGCCTGCCCCCAAGGCAAAGGAACTCTGATTGACTATGTCCTAGTGAGTGAGGACCTGGCTGAATCTGTTTCCGCCCCTGGACGTGAGGACCCCCAATCAAAACTCACGCGTGCCAAGAGGTGACCCTGGAGGTTGCTGCTGTTCACCAGGCTCTCTGGAGGCGGCGCAAGCCTCCTGCTCATCCTGGCCGCTTTGGACGAGATCTTCCCTGGGAAGCTCTCCCCGGGGCGAGTCCGTCACTCCGGTGCGGTGCTGCCGGCCACGTTGGAGAAGGCCCTGGTCTCGCACACGCGGGGCCATCTCACCGTGGACCTCACGGCGATGTGTCGCGCTTCGTCGCCTGCCACTGGCATGTTGCAGACGAGTCGTGCACGTGCCTGTCAGGAGTCGGATCCTGCTCTCCGTGGCGAACGTGGGGGGCTTGTGCAATCTCTGCCGAAGCGGCCAGCTCCGACGGGCTTTCCCAGGGGCCTGCCCTCTGTTTCTGGTCGCATCTCTCGCAGAAGCTTGAAGAGCAACAGCTTGCCGTGCGCGGTGCTGGCAGGCGTCGCGCGGCCATGCTGGCGACCCATCTTGCTGGGCTTGGCCCATGAGTTCAGGAGCATCTGCCTGATGAAGCTCCACGCGGTTTCAATTGGCGGCAAGCTCAGCTAGCAAGCCTGCCCGATCACGATGGTGATCCCTTTACTGATATTTCCGATGCGTGCTCGCGCACGCATGATATGGCATGGTCTTCCGCTCGCACTGCAGCTAAGGCGGGGCAGGAGGCCTGGCTGCTCAAAGCCCCCCCCCTTCTCTACGGCGCCAAGAAAGTGCATGCTTTGCTGAAACACGATTCCGCTGTGGAGGTTGAGTATATTGTGACCCCCGAAGGCACTGAGCAACCCCCTGGGGACCTCACGAGGTATCGGGCTGATTAGTGGGGGGACTTTGGACTGCGAGTGAAGATAAACGCGCCCAGCTCTCTTTGGCCATGGACATCCTCCGCCCTCTGGCTAAGGAAGCCATTGACGCGCTTGACCCCCTTACCTCGGCCGAGCTCCCTCGGGGTGCCCCTGTGGTTTCCAGCAGCACGGTTGTTGGTGGTGTTGACCACTGGCCCCCTCGAGTTTTCTTGGATGTACCCCTGAGTGCTAAGGCTGCGATGGCGGGAATGTCTAACAAATGTGAACGGTCTCTGATGTGGTCAGCCAAGATCCTCCTTGGCGTGGTGCCCCTCCTCCCTAAAACTGTTGGAACCGAAAGGCCCATCTGCAAATGCCCCACTGTGCACCCCGTTTATTGCTGTTTGCATGGCCGTGACCTTGACCATTGGAACGCTGCCCATGGTGAGTTTTGGGACGATGCCGTCCGAGGTAGCAGGGAGGTTGGGCATGAAGTTGCCATGTGCCTGGGTGGATACTCGGCTGCCCTCCACTGGGACCCCACGAATGTGTTTGACTCTGTCAACCCTGCCAGACTGATCGAGCTTGGTATTAAGCTTGATCGCCCACACACACACACACACTCTATCTGGGTGTGTTGACCCATACGGCCCCTAGGACGGTGGAGGTTTCTGGCTTTCCCTCGGATATGATCCCTGCGGGGTCTGGTATCCTGGCTGGCTGTAAGCAATCCATGTCCTGGGCCAAAATGCATGCGAATGATTTGCTACACCACTCCCACATCATCCACCCTGGTGTCGGTCTCAGGTCCTACGTTGATGATCTCTCTCAGACTCTTCAAGGTGATTGTAGTGATTACATGTGCGAGCGGCTTGTGCCTGCTGCTGTCCATTTT